TGATAATGTGTGTTATTTAGTACAATTCAGAGCAGGCTGAACTGACCGTAGTTTCAGTATTGTGGGGAAGTTTGCAGTAATGCTAGAGTGGTGCAAAGCAGGCTGTGGTGTTCAGGGTCAATGCTAGGCTACATCAAAGACAGGAGACATCAATTTAAACTGAAGCTCATGATGCCAGTTAGACTATTGCTACATTTGATCCTGACTCTTACCTTATTGAATTCACTTAACTAATATAACAGAAAAAGTCAGCTCATCATGGCCTGTATACAAAGAAAAATGTAACAGCTAACAATGCAAATTATTATGTGACTTATTTTGAGCCTAAGTAAATATGAGGAAGAACTGGCCCAGGCAATAAGTCGTTTGGCTTGTTTGATTATTATTATTGTTATGTGTATATAATGAGAATGTAGACAGCCTGTATGTAGTTTAGGTCTATTTTTGAGTATATTTACCACTTTTAAATACCACCTGATCACTTGTTGCACTAATTTTACTGCACACAAAGTAAACACAGAGCCTTTTCTCTCAACATCTCCAGACTTTTTTGCTGATTCGCAGCCTCAGAGAGCAGCATCATAACAGTGTCCCGCTGATTTTACATCCCTCTCCACTCTGTCTGTTATTAGCATTTCAATTTGTCACAAATCCCCATGCTCACAGAGCATCTCTGACTAGAGATTTTTGGGGCTAAATCTTGTGGGAAAACAGAGATTTCTCTCTCAGTCATCCTCCATTGTTGAGTCTGAACAAACGAAGTGACCACAGCAGCCTGAGTCACACAATGACAGACAGCTTATTCAGCTACTTCATCTGTTGCAGCTCCCCAGGGACCAGGCTCTGATCTTTTCCCAGAGCTCTACCTCTCTCTTTCACTCAGTTCACCCCCTCTTTCCTCTTTTTTTCCTGATTATCAATCTCTAACTCTATTTGCACAACATGCCTTTAATATACTTTTGTTTCCCCTTTCATGTGTTGCCTTTTTAAATCATAATTTTAGGGTATAGTTGCAAGTCAACGCAATTAAAGCCAACCACATTTCTCGGTTCTCTTTGAGAGCACTGTTTTTGTTTGTATTTTGTTTATTGTCATCTCTCCCTGGGGGTTAAACCGGTTGTAAAGACAGAGTCATTCCTTCAGAGACACCAGCTCCCATCAGCACCTTCTGGTCATTACTGGTGCATCGTGGGAACAGCTTGGCGAGTACAATGATTGGCTAGAACAATGAAGTTGGGGGGCAACACAAAGGACACGCCCACCGCATGATGGGAAAGAGCAGCAGAGGAAGCAGATGTTGCCACAGAGGACCCACAGGAGGGGAGGGAGAGAGAGATAGAGATATGGCAGATGTCTCTCTATCTCTCTCTCTGAAGGCTTTGCTTTATTTTTTTGCATCAGGTGAGAAAAAACAGAAGTTTTACCTGCTTTTTTTGACAGAATAACGATTTTTAAAGCCCAGAACACGCAAGGGTGGTCAAAGTCTCCTCGGATTTCTTCCAAAATTGGCTTTGTTTGCCCTATAAGACATCTTGTGACTGCTCCTTACTTCAAAGGCAAACCCTAAAATGCATGGATGGAGAAACAAGAAGTGCAGATAGCGCAAAAGAAGGCACGCAAAATCACTAAACGGTGTGTAACAGTGTTTGAGAGTATAGAAATCATAAAAATCGCGCTCTGGGCACAATTACAACCATGACTGATGTGTTCCTGCTCTTCGGCACAGTGATAAACACCGAATGAGGGCTATGTGAACTGGTTGGAAAGTGAAAGTTGAAAGTTGGCAGGTTTGCAAAATCTACTGGAAAAAACCCCCAGAATGTTGTAAAAGTATATTAAAAATCTAGCTTCGACCCTGCTAGAAGACGAGTCAGATAAAAAGAAGTGGACCAATGGCTTAATTTAACTCATGTCACATAGGTAACATGAGTTAAATAAAGTTTACTCAAGACACACTTTTCAAGTTTTCTTCAGTGAATCAGCAGAAAACATGAATGAAACATCCATGATGTTACTTCTTTCTGTTTCATATACCTTAAACTGGTATTTAAAATATGATGTAATCTGTGATGTTCATGCTCAAAGTTGCTTTTAGAGGAAAAATCAAAATGTTGGCTTTGGATTGTTATAAAGCCAAAATCTTGTTCCTGTAAACTTGATTTTACCATTTTGAGCAGATATTACATGTGTTTTTCAGTGCAGGGATGAAGACTGCAATATGTAATCCATGTGTAATTGTTATTAGAGAGTTGGTTGCAAATTGGATTTCTGAGCAGATTACTTGGAAAGAAGAAACACTAAGTGTAGGTTAAGCAAAAGTATTGAAAATTAGGATATAATAAAAATAATTAATATCAATAACTATTTGCTCGATACTTTGAGAAATGAAAGTCGTTTAAAGAAGGTATAAGCAGGCAGGAGTGGGGTGTTATTGGTGTCAGTTAGAAGACTGTTAACTTTGTGTTTTCATTATTTTCTTTTGCTACTTGCTGGTGCTTTGTGTACGTACAAAAACAGCCTGTTTAGGTTTAAGAAAAGATTGTGTTTTGGATTAAAATACAATGAACTGGAATAAGAGACGTGTCTCATTATTTCCACGACTCATGACTCACTCACTCATGTATATAAATGAGACGACTGCGACTTTGACACCCTATGAATGAGGACGAGTTCACTGAACAAATGTTAAATAGAATGTTAAATACAGATTTAATAAAGTGACTTTTATTCATTTTATTTTAATTACACAAAGTAGTTGCTTTCAGAAAGTTCAACATTACATACCTAAATAGCAGTCGTAACTAATTATGAAATGTTCTCAGTTAACACTTCAATCTCTAATTTCTCTTTTAATGTCCTATATTATTCCCATATTGATGCTGTAAATAATAACAATCACTATTTAGGTTCATCTACAAGAACCTAAATAGAGACTGTTTTTGTGTCTTTGTGCCTTTTCCTGATGCTCCCATGATCTCATTTCTAAGGATCTCTGTGCTTTCAAAACTTTTACAATTCTTGTTTTTTATGTCCTTGGACTAAATCTACATTTGGTCAGTTACATTCATGGTCCTGACATGTTTTTATATCCCAACATAGTCGACATTTACGTCAGCCATGGAGTTAGCCTTTACGCACCACTCAGACTTACATTGTCAGTTCATGGGAATACACTCTTCCTTTCAATGCGGCCATTCATGATGGCCAGACAAATTAGATAGCAAATTCACACAATAATACTTGCCAATTCATCCCTTCAAGACAAAAGGGAGAACAGCTGATGGGAACAAATCTTCTCATGTTCGCTCACAGAGCCACGAGGGAGCAGTCATCACTTAAATATAAAGCAATTGAGACGTCACTATGTTGGCAGATTTGAGAGAAAAGAAAATTGGGTTGCCAGGTCTGATCCTCTGAGACATGAGGAGTGGTTGAAATCTAGTAAAGTGTGCTCTGGGATATTTCTGTGATTAGGCGCTGTGTCTGTATGGTCTTTGTTTTCATGTGTGTGGTGTGTATGTGTGGGAATGGACCCTGGCCTGACTTGTTGATTAATGGCCAATGTGTGTATGTGTGAAAAAGCTCCTGGTCCTGTTTCCATGCTAATGAGTAGCGGCAGATGGGAGAGAGGAGGCCGGACCAACAATGAACAAACGCACCAGCAGCCGTACAACTAAAAAAAAGACCAAACAGACCCTCCTGTATGGTGTGTTTCCTCCCAGACGAACACTCTGATATTATGACCTTTCTTTTTGTTGGCTGGAGAATCTAAACACTGAATCCCGTCAACTCTGTCTTCATTTTAATCATCGCATGTTGGGATGCTAATATCAGCAAACAAGACACTACAGCTTATGCCTAAAACTGATGGATTCTTTGGAGTGTAACACAGGCACTAGAGTGATTGAAACATGTTTATTTTTCAATATTTACTGGAGCTACACACCATGTACTCCCTGTAAGAACATACTGTGAAAAAGTTTTTACCCCCTTAGGTTTTTTTGGGTATATGTCACATTTGTTCAGATCATCAACAAACTTTAATATTAGACAAATACAGCATGTAGTTTTCAAAAGAAATTTCACTACAGGGAGTGCAGAATTATTAGGCAAATGAGTATTTTGTCCACATCATCCTCTTCATGCATGTTGTCTTACTCCAAGCTGTATAGGCCCGAAAGCCTACTACCAATTAAGCATATTAGGTGATGTGCATCTCTGTAATGAGAAGGGGTGTGGTCTAATGACATCAACACCCTATATCAGGTGTGCATAATTATTAGGCAACGTCCTTTCCTTTGGCAAAATGGGTCAAAAGAAGGACTTGACAGGCTCAGAAAAGTCAAAAATAGTGAGATATCTTGCAGAGGGATGCAGCAGTCTCAAAATTGCAAAGCTTCTGAAGCGTGATCATCGAACAATCAAGCGTTTCATTCAAAATAGTCAACAGGGTCGCAAGAAGCGTGTGGAAAAACCAAGGCGCCAAATAACTGCCCATGAACTGAGAAAAGTCAAGCGTGCAGCTGCCAAGATGCCACTTGCCACCAGTTTGGCCATATTTCAGAGCTGCAACATCACTGGAGTGCCCAAAAGCACAAGGTGTGCAATACTCAGAGACATGGCCAAGGTAAGAAAGGCTGAAAGACGACCACCACTGAACAAGACACACAAGCTGAAACGTCAAGACTGGGCCAAGAAATATCTCAAGACTGGTTTTTCTAAGGTTTTATGGACTGATGAAATGAGAGTGAGTCTTGATGGGCCAGATGGATGGGCCCGTGGCTGGATTGGTAAAGGGCAGAGAGATCCAGTCCGACTCAGACGCCAGCAAGGTGGAGGTGGAGTACTGGTTTGGGTTGGTATCATCAAAGATGAGTGTAGCCCAGCTAGAAAAAAAGAGCAGTGGAAAGTAGTTTTTTTTTCATGTATAATGTAAAGAATTTAGTCATTTCTTTTATGTTTAAAGGAAGATGTGGACCAATAAGAGTATCTGTTGTCATTTAACTTGGCCAATCAGCAATGAGCTCCCAGTGACCCTTGCTGTTGACCTTGATCACATGATTTCCTGTGTTGCCATTTCGTTCCTGTTCATATAATGCCATGTGCCAGAGAAACTAATGTTCCCGAAGTCGAATCGCTAGGAGTTAAAAGCAAGTCTGCTGCAGTTGTTTTTGGTTGTTCAGAGTTTCACCCTGTCAACGGTGAGTACGAAAAGTGGGGAAAACCTAATTTGTTAAGGATAAAAAGGGCAGACTTAACGGGACGGCGAGTCCGCTAGCCGCTAAGCTAACTGCTAGCGCTCACGCTAGCAGAATTTGACTGTGTTCTGTGTGTGAAATGGCTAGTGACTGCAATCATATTACGTTTAAGAAAAAAAACAAAAGAAATGGTGCTAATCAGTTTTATGTTTAACAAGTTAATCCAATTGTACGCCGATTCTCAGATTTTCAGTTGTGTTCTTTGAGTTGGTTATAATGCACAAGTCTGGTGAGCTACTGTGAGTTGCTGACTGCAGCTACAGTGTTAACTATAGAAGCTGTGTTTTTTTTGAGAACATTGTCAGCCGTCAGGTTGATAAAATTATAGCTCATCTAAGAGGATATGATGCTGCAGTGATATAATTTTGTTGTACAACAGAGCTAGCTGAATTAAGATATAGAGTTACACTAATACTTATTGTTCATTTTTGAATGTTTTAAGTAAGTGTGGCTGTTTCACAACGGTGAATGTGACTATATGGACCTGTGACCTGTTTATAGGTCAGGTTTTTTTTTGTTATCTGGTAAAAGGATGACTCGACAGACGGACCCAGTCTGAAGCAAGCCCCATCGAGGAGCAGTGATTCCACAGTTCCAGTTAACTGGATGGCGAGCCAACCCGAAATTGAAAAGGATTTGCCAAGGTTTTATTGAAGCCAAAGTTTCGTTCCCATTGAAGCTTCAGATACCTGCAGGACTACAAACTTTCTTCCTTCATCGGAGTGTGGTAGGACAAACATTAAACAAACTGAACGGGCCCCAACGATCCATCAGTTATCAGACATTATCCACTCATATAATTGACTCAGAGAAAGCTGTATGCGCGCACTTTTATTTAGTTTGTTATTTTGGGGGAAATATTTTGTATTTTATTTTATTGTTTTTTCATTACATTGTTGCAGCTGCTGTGTGTCAAATATAACAAATTTGTGAACAGTATATTGTGGTGTGGTCTCTTCTTATTGGTGTTTATACCTTGGGCTCCTGCCGATCCTAGATCTTCTGATACTGGCTAGTGGGAGTTCGGTCATTCTTAATAATAATTCACAAGTTGGGTTACATAAGTGGCGAGCCAGCCAGGAGCCTAAGAATTTTTAAACATCAGTAATGAGAAATTGTGTCTGACATGGATTTTGTCCAGCGCTCAGGTGTAAAAATTCCCAATGCAGTTATTGTGAGTGGGATCACGAAGTCAGAGAAAGATGAAGAAGTTTTAGAGTTTTTGAAAAAGTATGGTGGTGTTAAAACCCTTTTGCCAGTGGATGATGCTACCTCAGAGTTTCATCAAAACCTGATTGTTGAGTACTCAAGTGGCTCAGCTGTAGAAGCTTTAGAGCCTCTTATGCCATACAAGTATGTTGCAGAGGGTGAACCAAATGTCTCTTACTGTGTGAGGGCCTTGGCAAGCGTTTACACTGCTAAGGTGGGTGAAGGTGTCACGAAGTCATACTTGGCTGAATTAAAGGGCTTGGCTAAGCTCAGTGGCAAAACCTATGAGGAAGTATTGAAAGAGATGATATCACAAATCTGTGAGACAACTGAGAATACAGATGAGGCACCTTCTGTCTTACATGATAGCATTGTTGATGAGACACCAATACCACAGCCCCAGTTGCTTTCAGGTCCCTCAAGGGTAAGCAGTGACCAAGGTGTCTCAACTCCAGTTCCACCCTTGCGTGTACAGAAGCCTTCAATAGTGATTAGTGATGTAAATCCCCCTGAAGTTCAGAAGGTCGTTGTTGAGCATATTTTAAGGAAGGATGACATTGGATCACAGATCCATTCTTCAATGCGCATCCGTTCCTTCTCAGGGAAAACTCCCAGGCCTAACAATGAGACAGACTATGAGACTTGGCGCTCACACATTGAGCTGCTTTTAAGTGACCCCAGTATGACCCATCTGCAGGTGTCCAGGAAGATTTTAGAGAATTTGCTTCCACCTGCAGTTGATGTGGTGAAGTGCTTGAGTCCCAGCGCACCCCCAGTAGCCTATCTGCAGTTGCTCGATTCAGCCTTCGGCGCTGTAGAGGATGGTGAGGAGCTTTTTGCTCAGTTCATGAATACCCTTCAGGACCCAGGCGAGAAACCATCAGCTTTCCTCCATCGTTTACAGCTAGCACTAAATTTAGCAGTAAAAAGGGGGGGTATTCCACCTGATGATGTAGACAAACATCTCCTCAAGCAGTTTTGTAGGGGGTGTTGGGATAGTGGATTGCTCTCCAGTCTGCAACTTGAACACAAGAAAAACTGTCCACCGTCATTTTCAGAGCTCTTGCTAATGTTGCGTACCGAAGAAGATAGACAAGCTGCAAAGGTTGATAGGATGAAAAAGCACATTGGTTCATCAAAACGAGTATCTGTCCATGCTCAGAGTTCCTGTGTTTGTGCAGGCGTAAGAGAAAGCCCACAGTGTGGTCCGAAAGCTATTGAGGAACTTCAAAAGCAGATAGCTAGCTTGCAGAGTCAGCTAGCCTCATTTGCATCACAGGAAAAGCTAAGTGAGCGTGCCAACAAGAAACCGGTTAAAAAGACAACCTGTAAATCGAAAATGGACAACACACATCAAGAAGTGCATCGATTAGCCGGAGTAAAACAGACAGGCAGGCCCAGGCCTTGGTATTGTTTTCACTGTGGGGAAGATGGGCATATTGCCACTTCTTGTACAAACCCTGCAAATTCTGCACTAGTTATTGAAAAGAAGAAGCAGTTGGAGAGGAGGCAGCACGCGTGGGAAAGTCAAAGTTGTCCCAGCGACTCCAGTTCACCTTTAAACTAGATCCAGTCTCTGTTGTGGGACAGACAGAGGCTGAAGAACATGCGCAGCGTCCCACAGACGTAAAGATTGTCAGCAAAGCAGGCAAGTGTGTGGATCTAGAGCACTCCAGTAGTGAAAAGCAATCCTTCAGGCTTCCAAAGGGTCTGATTGGTACCAGGAGCACTGCTGAAGTGATAATTGAAGATAAAACATTTAGTTGTCTGCTAGATACCGGCTCGCAAGTGACTACTATCCCCAATCCTTTTATGAACAACACATGTCAGTGCAGGACATCAAGCCTCTCTATGACCTCTTGGAGGTTGAAGGGGCGAATGGACAGGCTGTACCTTATTTGGGCTACATTGAAACTACTGTCACTTTTCCAAAAGAATTTCTGGTATGTCTATTGAGGTGCCCACATTAGCTCTCATAGTTCCTGACGTTCGAGCTACCTCAGGGTCCTACTTACTCATAGGGACAAATACACTTGATGTGTTGTATGACATTTATTGCAAAGCTAATCCAGGAGATCCCAAGACATTTCCTCACGGCTACAAAGCGGTCATTAAGGTGCTTGAACTCAGACACAATCAGTCTAACGTCAGTCACCATGGTGTTGTAAAACTGAAGGGCAGAATCTCTCAGGTTGTCCCAGCAGGGCCACAGTGGTTTTGGAGGGTGTCTCTACTGCAGCGGTCTTCAGCATGAACAATCAGTTGTTGTTGAGCAGCCTTCCAGTTCCTCTCTACCTGGTGGTCTGCTAGTGAACACTTGTCTGGTTGACCTGTCCAAACAACGACCCTTTAGGCTTCCAGTTGTGATTACCAACCAATCTGAACATGACATTGTCATTCCTGCTAAATGTCAAATTGCTGACATTAGCGCTTACCAATGTATTTTGTCAAAGGAGCAGAGTGTGGTTAACTTGCAAAAGGCAGATCTCACTCAAGAGGCCAATTGTAACTTCAACTTTGGAGAGTCCCCAATCCCTCCCGAGTGGAAGGGTCGTATCACACGACTCCTTAACAACATGCCAGATGTATTTGCGCAACATGACTTGGACTTTGGAAGAACCGACAAGGTGACTCACCACATCAAGCTCTCAGACGAGGCTCCTTTCAAACACCGTGCTCGTCCGCTACACCCTCAAGACATTGAGGCTGTCCGTAGGCACATTCAAGAGCTTCTTGATACAGGTGTAATCAGAGAGTCCGAGTCTCCCTTCTCTTCGCCCATTGTGGTAGTCCGTAAAAAGAATGGCCAGGTCCGGTTGTGCATAGACTACAGAAAACTCAACCTTCAGACAATAAAGGATGCTTACACGCTTCCTAAGCTTGAAGACACCTTCGCGGCTCTCTCTGGTTCCCAGTGGTTTTCTGTGCTTGACCTAAAGTCTGGATATTATCAAATCGAGGTAGATGAAGTGGATAAACCCAAGACGGCCTTTGTCTGCCCTTTGGGCTTCTGGGAATTTAACCGCATGCCGCAAGGCCTGACAAATGCGCCAAGCACATTCCAAAGATTAATGGAGAAGTGCATGGGGGATATGCATTTGAAAGAGGTGCTAGTTTTCCTCGACGACTTGATAGTGTTCTCAAAGACCCTGGAAGAACATGAAACAAGGTTGTTGGAGGTGCTCACTCGGTTGAGAGAGTTTGGATTAAAGTTATCACCTGAAAAGTGTGTGTTTTTCCAGACCTCAGTGCGGTACCTGGGACACATAGTGTCCAGAAATGGAGTTGAGACAGATCCAGAGAAAATCTCTGCCCTTCGTACTTGGCCAGTTCCTCAGACCCTCAGGGAATTGCGATCTTTTCTTGGGTTCGCTGGCTATTATCGAAGGTTCGTAAAAGACTATTCCAGCATTGTGAAGCCCCTCAATGATCTGACTCAGGGCTATCCTCAATCAACCAAAAGGGGTAGATCAAGAGACAGCCAAGAGCATTATCACCATCCCAAAGAGCCGTTTGGGAACCGTTGGACATCAGCTTGCCAGCAGGCATTTGAGTCAGTTATTGAAAGCTGACAACTGCCCCTGTCCTAGGGTTCGCTGACCCTCAAAAGCCTTATGTGCTCCACACTGATGCTAGCACTACAGGCCTTGGTGCTGTCTTGTACCAGGAGCAGGAAGGGCAGTTACGTGTCATAGCCTATGCAAGCAGAGGGCTGTCGCATAGCGAGTCTCGATACCCAGCGCACAATTAGAGTTTTTGGCGCTTAAGTGGTCAGTAACAGAAAAGTTTAGTGACTACCTATATGGGAATCACTTTACTGTTGTCACTGATAGCAATCCCTTGACGTACATATTGACGACTGCAAAACTTGATGCAACGAGCTACAGATGGCTCGCAGCTTTGTCTACGTTCACATTCAAGCTGCTGTATCGTCCTGGGAAGCAAAACTGGGATGCGGATGGGTTATCCCGTAGACCCCACGGAGCTCTTGTGGATGATCTGAAATCCCAGAAAGAGAGGGAGCGCATTTTCCAGTTCACTCAGGGTCATCTCGCTGATCTTGAAAATCTCGAGGAAGCCAACCAAGCGGTTGTGAAAGCCATTTGTGAAAGACAGTCAGTGTATAGCGCCAGCTCTGTTAATCCGAGTTTGGATGGCTGTGTTACTCTTGTTGAAACTCTTGCTATGTCCTCTGATGCTGTGCCTGACTGCTATGGACAAGAAGATGAGTTTGGAGGATTGCCTGTTATTCCTCAACTGACTGAGGCTGAGTTGATGGATAAACAGAGAGCTGACCAATGTCTAAGGCATGTCATATCCCAACTTGAGCATGGGGTAAGCCCACCGCCTACTTTAAGGGGTGAACTTCCAGATCTTCCACTCCTACTTCGAGAGGTTGGTCGGTTTCAGCTTATAAATGGCATCTTATACCGGAGACGCCAGCTCGGGTCTCGGGTATCTCACCAGCTAGTACTGCCCCCAGAGCTCAGAGAGACTGTTTTGAGCAGTCTGCATGACCATATAGGTCATATGGCATTGAGCGCACATTAGATCTCGTTAGGGCCAGATTCTATTGGCCCAGAATGGCCTTGGATGTAGAGAGGAAAATAAAGACCTGTGGTAGATGTGTGCGCAGAAAGGCGTTGCCTGACAGAGCTGCACCGTTAGTCAACATCAGTACCACAAGGCCACTGGAACTGGTTTGTATGGACTTCCTCTCTCTCGAACCAGACAAAAGTGGAGCTAAAGACATCCTTGTGATCACTGATCACTTTACTAAGTATGCAATTGCTATACCAACATGCAATCAAAAGGCTCGCACAGTAGCTAAGTGCCTATGGGACAATTTTATTGTGCATTACGGGTTCCCAGAAAAGTTGCACAGTGATCAGGGACCTGATTTTGAGTCTCGCACAATAAAAGAGCTCTGTCAGATGGCTGGCATACAGAAGGTTAGAACTACTCCCTACCATCCCAGAGGAAATCCAGTGGAGCGGTTCAATCGCACATTGCTGGACATGCTAGGCACTCTTCAAAACAAAGACAAGTCTCACTGGCGTGATTTTGTGAAGCCCCTTGTTCATGCTTATAATTGCACCAGGAATGAGGTGACTGGATTTGCACCGTACGAGCTTATGTTCGGTCGCCAGCCTCGCCTGCCGGTGGATTTGGCTTTGGGCTGCCGGTGAAAGAGGAGCAACAGATTTCACACTCACAGTACGTGCAAAATCTGAAATCCCACTTACAAGAGAGTTACAAGGTAGCTACTGGAAATGCTGCCAAGATAGCAGAAAAGAATAAATCCAGATTTGACAGGCGTGTGACTATTTCAGATCTGGAGGTAGGGGACAGAGTATTAGTCAGAAATGTCCGCATTCGTGGAAAAAACAAGATTGCAGACAAGTGGGAGGCAGCCATCTACATAGTCGTAAGCAGAGCAGGATCCCTTCCAGTGTATACTGTGAGACCTGAGAAGAAAGATGGTCCACTGCGGACATTGCATAGGGACCTATTACTCCCTTGTGGCTATCTCCCCAACGAGAGTAGTGACAAGCCTGTAGGGCAGACACAAAGACGCAGGCCAGCAACACGTCTCAGTCCAGTTGCAGACTCCGATCAATTCTCAGAGGCTGAGGATGAGATTTTCCCCAATTACTGGTTCAGAGACGCCCCCAGTTCTGAGATACCTACGGTCACCATTCATCAAGAAACGCACCCTTATTTATCAGTGTCTTCTGGGGAAGATGCACAACTTCCAGAATTTTGTCCCTCAGTTAAAGGTTCTACTGCTCGATATCCAAGCTGCAATCCACAGACTGACCAGTTATGTAACTTACCTGTTGACAGTCCAGATTCAGCAACTCTTCCAGTGTCTGAGAGTCACTGTCATGACACAGAAATCGTGAGCGATGACCAAAATCCACCAGCAGAGATGGAGACCGAAAGGATTGCACCTGGAAGTGATTGTCATGACTTGAATCCCGGGTTATCTTCTCTTGCTCCAAACCTGTCTACGGATGTTGAGGCGGCAGGTCGAACTGAAATGGGATTGTCAAATGAGTCACCAACAGATGAATCTCCTGAAGAGCTCTCAGTAGACCAGACACTGATTGGAAGCCAAGACCAACCTGGTTCTGCTAGACGATCAAATAGGGAGCGAGAACCGCCTAAACGCCTTCAGTATGTGAAACTTGGGCATCCACTTATAGCGGTGGTGCAATCTCTGTTCCAGGGTTTAACCACGGCTTTTACAGACATTTTGGATGAGGGTTATCACCCATTAGATTGCCCTGTCCAGACCCATCAGACAGTAATTACCCAACCATTGCCATGCAACGGGGCGTGCATGAGTTCAGTGGGGGAGGTTGTAGCCCAGCTAGAAAAAAGAGCAGTGGAAAGTAGTTTTTTTTTCATGTATAATGTAAAGAATTTAGTCATTTCTTTTATGTTTAAAGGAAGATGTGGACCAATAAGATTATCTGTTGTCATTTAACTTGGCCAATCAGCAATGAGCTCCCAGTGACCCTTGCTGTTGACCTTGATCACATGATTTCCTGTGTTGCCATTTCGTTCCTGTTCATATAATGCCATGTGCCAGAGAAACTAATGTTCCCGAAGTCGAATCGCTAGGAGTTAAAAGCAAGTCTGCTGCAGTTGTTTTTGGTTGTTCAGAGTTTCACCCTGTCAACGGTGAGTACGAAAAGTGGGGAAAACCTAATTTGTTA